ATATATATATATATATATATATACACACATATTTTGTTCATTATGATAATGAAAGTCAAGGGTAAATGGATCACAGAAATTACATGGAGAAACATTCTTAATTTTTCAGGTTGAATCACACAAATCTCACAGAGAAATGTGGTCAATATATCTCACTGGTCCTCAGCTCTGACTCTTGCAGTCTGAGACACCTGGATTTGAGTAACAATGACCTACGAGATTCAGGAGTAAAACTGCTTTCTACTGGACTGAGGAGCCCACACTGTAGACTACAAACGTTTGGGTATGCATCTGAGGAATATGTGTTGCACCGTAAGGGTCATTGTGAAAAGACTGGACAGGCAGCCAACTGTGACAAGGGGACCCATTTTTTTCCTAGTAGACGATTTGCTGTCAGGATGGTTGCCCCTTCCTAAACCCTGGCTAGCAGTTTCGTCAAGTTAAAAGGGTTTTTTTCTTTCCCACTGTTGCCAAGTGCTTGTTCATAGGGGATCAACTGGTGGCTGGGGCTTCATCCTAATATTGTAAGGTCTTTACCTTGCAATATAAAAAAACCCAACTTGTGGTGACTGTTATTGTGAATTGGCATAATGTAAATAAAACTGAACTAATGTTGTGTTTGCACACACACTCCATCTCCATAAGACAAAGGTTATAAACTACAATGAAAATAACCCTTAAGAGCTACATTTAAAACTGCTGCGGAGTCAATAAAACTAAATAATTAATAAAAACCTAAACCTACACAACAGAAAAAAAAGCAAAAAATAAATAAATAAATAAAACATCTTCACTAAACAGTATGCACAAACAGCCACAGTTATGAAAGTGCAAACATTTTCATTTAACTTCTCAGATTGCATAGTGTACAAAGCAAGAGAGGGCTTTTTTTCGTCTGAAGTCGGACTAATGAATTCATAGTTGTGGTGGACAGACTGAGTGCAGATTCTTATGAGCACATTTCTGTTTCTTTTGCAAACCTTGAACAAGACCATTTTTTAAAACTAGCTGCTGTACCTGAGGAATTACTTCTTTGCTTTGAAAGACACGTGAGAGGTACTTTACACTGTCTCACTTACATATGACCATCTGCACCAATTATCATGCAAATTATATATTAGTTTTAGGTGGATGGATTACTTCAGTTTTGCACTCTTGCAGATTGTCAGGCTGTTTGATCACGGCAGATGGCTGTACGTCTTTGGCGTCAGCTCTGAGGTCCAACCCCTCCTATCTGAAAGAACTCGACCTCAGTTATAACCATCCAGATGAGTTGGGAGTAAAGCTACGATCTGTGGGACTGAAGGATCCAAACTGGAGACTGGACTCCCTCAGGTATGATGTACATTGGAGTACAGGAACTGTAGAAATGCTAAAGGACTCCAGTCTGGTCTGACTTTGATTTTCCCCTTCCAGCGAGGACCACAGTGGTCTTCAGAGGCTGAAATCTGGTCTGAGGAAGTGTAAGTATATAAGATGTAACACTATATTTCTGGTTTGATTTAAAACCTTCAGACTTACTGCTGTATTTCACCCTTTCCTCTCTGTGTATTCCTTAGATGCATGTGAACTAACACTGGACCCAAACACAGCCCACAAAAATGTTGTCCTGTTTGAGAACAACAGAAAAGTAAGACTGTCACCAGAGAAGCAGCCATATCCTGAACACCCGGACAGATTCGACTGGTGCTACCAGCTGCTCTGTACAACGGGTCTGACAGGCCGCTGTTACTGGGAGGTGGAGTGGAAAGGAGGTGTTGATATTGGAGCAACTTACAAAAGCGTCAGAAGGAGGGGAGCTCTAGATGGCAGCAGGCTTGGATGGAATGAGAAATCATGGAATTTAGAGTTCAATGATAAAAACATCTACGCCTGGCACAATAATATAAAAACAGTTCTCCTTGCTCCTCTGTCCTCTGCCTCTGAAAGAGTGGGAGTATATTTAGACTGGACTGAAGGCACTCTGGCTTTCTACGCAGTCTTGCCTGATTCACAGATTCACCTGTACACCTTTTTCTGTGGTGCCTTCACTGAACCACTTTACCCTGGGTTTGGGTTCTTATCAATAGACTCTTCTGTGTCACTGTTAGAAATATAATCTATCCAAAAAAGGCTAATTTTTCCTGGTGAAATAGCCATAGGTCTCGGTAATGCAGCAAAAAAGAAAAAAAGAAAAATATTTAATAGATGTTAAAAAGAAGAGGCTGTGGTTTTTAAAAATGAGATTTTAAAAAATGCACCTTTTTGTCTAAAGAAATGTAAGGTTTTTTTTCTATAGTTTTAATATTTTAATATCTGACAGATGTTGCTTCTTTTTTGCTAATTAAGTCAAAGTTTGGACATCAAGCTTGGTATGAAAAAAGTAAACAACTATAAGTTCTTGTTTGTTGTTGTTTTGTTGTTGTTGTTTTCACATGTAATTTATTTATTTAATTTAATCCTGAACATTTTGTAGCTTGTGGTGTTTTGGAAAACTGAAAATTTTTAGCCAAGCCTTCATCATTTTGTTTGTGCGCATCGTCTGAGGATTCTAAATATCTTAATTACAAACAAATCCAGGTACAAAAATCACAGATTTTTATTATTCAGGCAGTGTGACGGTAAATGTAGAATAACCAGGTGACATAACCCATGCGTTTCTTTGGACTGTAGAAGAAAGCCACGCAGTCAAAGTTTCAAACTCAAGAGTTGCTTGGTGTGGGGTGACAATGCTAATCACCAAACAGCACCCACACAGCTGTTTATAAAATACAATGTGAAAAATAAATATGAAAATATTTATTTAGAAATACCAGCATTTGATTAATTTACAGTAAAACAAAAAAGAAATGTAACATCATACAAGATATAGTGCAAGACTTTGAGAGACCTAGTATTCAGCACGTTGTTCTCCAAGCTAACTATTGTATAGCTGTACGCTAATTAAAAGTCTGCTAGCATTCGTGATGTTGATAGTAAACACTAAAATTTGTAACATGTGGCATTGTGAAATGCAAAGATAAGACTTTCTGATCCCTAAAGAAAAGTTCACAGCACAGAGACGAGTTATGAGGTAAGAAAAATCATTGAAAAAGAAAAATGAATTAGAAATTAAAAATAAGTCAAAAGAAAAAAGAAAATGCATATACAATATATAGATTGTCATATTTGTGCAAATATTTGTGGAAAAGTGTCCAGTAGTGCAAAATATAAAACTTTAACTACACTTGCACAGTGAATGTGTAAAGAACATGTAACTTGTGTACCTCCTTATAGTTTTAGGTAAAGCATGTTGAAATTAACCTGAATAAATATGTAGACGGTAATGTGATGCTTAAAAAACATCAAGCACACAACTGTATAAACAGGATGGCAGGCTCACAAAATTATTAACTGGCACTTATTTTGGAGGATGCTGGCAGCTTCCTACAGCCTCTGCCCACCAGTTTGTAGTTCAGCTCGACGACAAGCGAGCAGAACTCGCTCATACCGACGAAGTCACAGCACATAATGTTGACTCCCTCGGGTCCTGGCTGCTGCTCACCCGCCCACTGGAGCAGCAGTGAGAGAGAGTTCAACGTCAACATCCTCATGCTCTGGAAAGGGTGCAGGAAGACGTAAAACATGGTCTCTGTCAGGTTCAGACCAGTGACGTAAAAACCATCTGGAAAACAAAACCGTCTGTAAGGCCGGTGCTTAAAGAAACGAACAGCAAATAAAACCTGAGGTAAAATAAATCCCAGCTAGCTGCAGAAGCAGTACACTTCAGAGTATTTTTACTACGTCACTGACATTATTATATTATTAAACTTATGAGAATACTTCTGTCCATCTTGTCCAGGACGTTCTTGTAAAAGATTTTTAATCTCAAGAGTTAAAAAAAAAAAGGTTAATAATAATTATATTATATATTTTGGTGGCTCAATCAACAGTATATGAATATTAGAAATTTGGTATTTAAAGGAATTATTCTGTTTTAATAAAAACATTTCATTTAAATTTTTGAATAAACCTTTTCAACTTTCAATAAAAACGTTCACCACATGGGGGCAGCAAATCCGAATCCATGTTGGATTTTTATTGAAAACCTGCGTAGTCTGAATACGCTTTGAATTTTGAGCTTAAGCATAAATTATACTTCTGCACTGAATCTGTCAATCCTACTACATAAACCCGCAAAAGTGTCCAACATTGTTAGCAGCAAGTATAGTTGTATGTGGCGTGGCTGTGTTGCCGTGGAGTTTCTCTCCAATTTTATCCACTGGCTTCCTGATGATTAAAAAAAATTACAGCAGAAGAAGCAGCATCAGAGGAAACAGTGGTACTGAAAGCCAACACAGGCTGTGTGGGATGCATATATATGTACAAACTAACATTTGTACCTTTGGCAGGTTATTAAATCCAGTAAACTACCTTTACAGTATATTCTGTATCCAGTACTTTTGCTCTAACATTTTAAATACAGGTCTGTAATGCTACTACTTTCCCTCACTGCACTACTTGTTCCAACAACCTCATACCTGGTCTTCCCTGCCGTTGCTGGCCTTCCAGATAGGTGATCACTTTCTTAGGATCTGGGCTGTTAGCATACCTGAACACACAGGACAGGTTCAATCATTTCAGTGTTAGTGACATGACCAACTGTGCAGACAGTAGCCTTGAAAAGTAAAAGTAATCAGGCACTGCTTTAAATCTGTTTTTTCCCCTAATGGCCACCAGTCTTGGTCACCAGTCAAAGACCCAAAAAGAAGGAGGGAGAGAAGAAGACCAAGAAAACCACATAAGGTCTAAGGTTTGAAAATAGGAGGAAACAAACTATCTTTACATACGTGTATATATTACATGCAACCAGTGTTTACATATTTAATATTGTATTTCACACCATGTCACACCATTTATAAATAAACCAACAAGCACGTATTATGTCTGACAGTGAACACAATTGACACTCCAATTATGTCATATTTGAACCTTTGGCTGTTGCTGTTCTCAGTGTGGTTTAAAGTCACTGTACCAACATCTATTATTAATACTTTTGAGACACCAAGATGCTCAAAAACAAAACAAACAAACAAACAAAAAAAGAACAGCTAATATTGCCAGAGAAAGTAATCAGAACCGAAATCACGGAATCGAAGACACTTAAGTAGGGCTGAACGATATATCGCATTTGCGATAATATCGCGACATGATCAAGTGCAATTTTCTAACCGCAAAGGCTGCGATTATAC